CTGCACAGGTGGATACGAAATCCAGGAGAATTTCTTTTTTCCTGTGATGATCCAAGGCAACTTAAAACATGCAAAAGGTTTTATTTTATTTCTACTATCATTCACGCATGACAAAATTTCAAAACGATCTTAACAAAATTGCATCGTGTTGTTTCCAACATCGGTCCTCATAAATGCACTCTGTCATGCCCTCTGCTAGGTCGGGGTAGCATTAGGATCAGTCCGGCGCTATAACGTGTTAAACTGGAAACCGACGATCACCTATGGGACACGAAAATAGCTATGGTAGTTCTTGACGTCAGCATGAATGAAAGGCATCTCAGCCCTCTTGACGTATTCGCAAACCCCTTTATGCCCGTCCAGAGAAGGAGTCTCAAAGGCTAAGGTGGGAATTGAGCAATTGAATTCCCTCCCCTGTGTAAGCCATTGATGCGAACTGCACTTGTTTTGCTACGAATTAATCACGAATCTAACATTTTTCTTCTAAAAAAAAATGGAACTCACATTCTTGTATGCTGTCACTGGTCATCTTAGTTCACAAAGTTGTATCAGCTGAGTAAATTGGCAGTTTTTTTAGCCATGGAAATAATGCCACAGCTATGAACGCTGCAGTCGAAACAAGCCAGGTTGAATGATAGAAGTAAGGTAAGGAAAGTCAAATGTGCCTTTTGATTAACAGAGCATGGATAAAGGCTAGGAAAATTGGGAGGTAAATCTCTTCCTGCTTCCCACCTAGCTCTAAGTTGTTACTTTTGCAGCCCGCTGCTGCATATCGATTTCAGCAATCATCCATCTGCGTGTGCTGGCACAAAACTCCTGACCTTCCCTAAATTCCACGGTTTCCAGTCACGTTTCTCGCATCGGGGAGATCCTATTGAGCGCATCGAATGCACATTGTGACGTCTTCTTAACCTTGCTACGAGGTAATGGCTTGAATATCGGATAACACAAAATATCCCGGACAGACTTTCGATTGAATGCACCTTCTCACTTTGCTCTCCCTCCAAATCCTTCGTTTCATAATTTCAAAGTTTGTGGGATCTCAACTTTCTGAAGAAAATTCACAGTTCCATTAATTCACTACTAATGACGACTAAAAAAGCACTTTTGCAACTTGTGGACTCAAGTAATGGGGACTGGGGACTCTTTCCAACAACCAGCTATTTATGCAGTTATTCGATCTACTGTACCTTGAAATTCATGCGCTCCTAATTCTGCCAGTGAGCTCGTAAGCCCGTAAGCGACAGCAAAATCTAGTTATACAATGTCGACGGAGGGGAGTTGTTTTATCAATCAGACTCACTACCCAACCGTAAAAGTCCTGCAGATTGATGAGGCAAAGACGACGCCTGCCACAGCCATGCTGAGACTCCCAAATGAGTGAGTTCCCTTGGTTTAGAACAGCGTTGCGGAAACTTTTAAGGTCGCGCCCCCCTATCTCCCTTCTTCCTCCCTCCACTGGTTTCGTTTCATCAGAAACTGACTGTAATTTCGGGTAAGGTGGCTGGAGAAAGGTAACACGAATATATGGTTTTTGTAGTAAAACGTTAACTTTATTAAAATCTCTATTATTGAGAATAGTGCAACGCCACAAAAAGGGCCAATTTAGGATTTAGAATTTCCTAGATTTGTAGGGCTTTTCTTCATTTCTTCCTTTTTATTTCTTTAACCTTAAAGCTCCCTAATTCTGAGAAAAAAGGCAATGTAAAGGCCAAAGTTCGCGCTCCCCAGTTTGCGCACCGCTGGTCTAGGATACCAACGATGCTTCCCACGATCTTCCTTGGAATGCTCATAAGACTGACCGGCCTGTCATTACCAGGATTGCTGTCATGCACCGCCTTAAATAGCATGAAGAAGCACCGATGGAATTGAGACGCTTTTTGATGCGGAAAGCATCTCACTTCAAGCAGTGCCCCAAACCTCAAATCTTTCATTTGCATTCAAGCAGTGCACCATGCACATACTGAACCGTATCTTGCTGTTCTCCATTTCTCTGAAAAAACATAAAAATGCTTTGTGTAGCTCAACAAACATTGGTGGCTATGCACATGTTTTAAGATTTCTTGTTTTCAATTTTCTGGAGGCCTTCTAAGTCTTTCCACTGCCTACCTTATACCCGAAAAACCCAAGAACTGAACTTTCATTTCACAGTAAAAATGTGCCACCCCTGTCTTACTTGACTTTAATTAAAAATACAAAAAATTCTGAAAACCTCTTATCAAACACCCAGTAAACACGACCAGGCTTGCCCGTTATTTACAACTAACTCCCCCTTATCATTCTGAAGGGCCGGATATAATGTTGACTTCTGACACTGGTATGTCGATAAAAAGCCTTGAGATTACCCTTATACGAGTAGTATTAATCTCTAGCCGCTCCTCAACCTACCGCTTCGCTGACCTAATTCTCATGAGGCTTTTGTTGAGACGGGACTTTATTCGAGTACTCCTTTATTTAATGTGATTCAGACACTCCCTCCTAGACACCATTGTCTCTTCACGAGAGCGAAAATTTTATAGTGAGGAAGTCGCGTAATCTCACTTAAGCGAAGGGAGCACCCGAATGACAACATCACCTAAGACTCTTGGGACAGCAATACCAATATGAATTAAAAAGAATTTATCATTTGAACAGAATGACAGAATAATATCGGCAGAGAGACTCGTCAGATGTTTTAAGACCAAGGTTGAGATGGATGGGACTCTCGAGTCGACTGTAATTTGCATGAATTCAACGACGAAGAATTCGATTTCATTGGTCGCAGGAAACTATTGTGACATAATGACCCAAGAAAGGGAACGCTGATGTTCCCGGGAGCGTTCCATACTAAGGCAAGTTTTTCTCATTCATACCGCTGCCATCTGTGAAGCACCACAGTTGGTACCTCACAGGTACCAACTGTAAAGCCTCACATTCCTTCTCTTGCTTAATCAAGCTGTACCGAGCTGGGAGAGCATTATGCCTCTTTCATTATGCAAGAAGATATTATTTTATTCGTACGGCTCAACAGTAGCCTGAATGAATTAGCCGTCAATAAAAGTCTTCCAGATGAAAAGCAATCCCGAGCAGCTGTAATAATCTGCATGAAGAAAGAACTCATCAAAGCAGGTATTAGTGCAAACGAATAGAGAAGACATGACACAAGAAGCATGGCAATGAATAGCACCATTTAGAGCCAATCATCCGTAGAGGACGTACAGCCTTTCACACTTTCGACATGAGAGTGACCAATTCTTCCTTATTTACTATTTGATAGAATCTCTTGAAGTAAATGACGAGGTTCCATAGAGAGAAAAGTGGAAGAATTCGATCCTTGTACTGAGAAGGCTCAATCAATCTCTCGTATGTCGGAGCTTCCCGAAAAAGAAAATGTCAGTGATTGCCTAAAGGATGCAACAAATCAGTACCCTTTTACCAGAAAATATGGACATAAACCAATACTTAAGAGCTAGGATTCCTTTGTCCTCTCCAGCTGCACTCTTGCACTTTATTTGAGAGATGCACACCACCGCTGTATGGCGATTTGGCATCAAGTTACGGTTCCATGAGAGTAAGCCTCTTTCATGTTGGGTTATTGAGGTAGCTTTAACAGATTCGACAATTAGGTCGAGGACTCGCCCAAGCCTTCTACATCTCTCTTCCTACAAGGAGCGATAATAAAAAAGTTACAGGACTGATTCTGTAACTTCTTTATTCTCTGATGTACAGGAATCTTTTCTCTTACGCACGATGTGTGATCAAAAAGTTCAGAGACTGAATTTTTATTGTTTTAGCGACTCTTTCTGTCTACCGATGGCTATACCTCGTATTCTTCAAAGTAGTCCTCTTAGGTATCTACACAATTTTTCTGGTGTTTCTTCAGCCGCTGACACTTATCTTTTTGAATCACCAGCAGTGCTCGCATTGTGTTTACAATTTTGCTTTGAAAATCTGAAATCTCCTTCATTTCAGCAAACTCTTTAGCTGAGGGAACAAAAGGAAATTACTAGAAGCTAAGTCATGTGAGTTGGATGGCTGATGAAGCACGGGGATTGCGGGGAAGGTCAGACACCGCTGAAACTGCAAAAGGAAGGGAGTTTCAGGACATTTAAAGCGGCGTTACTAACGCGACGCGAACGCTACTGGTGATTCCAAAATGCGAGTGTCAGCGAGGATTACAGGGGCTGAAGAAACACCGAAAAAATTGAGTAGATGCCGAAGAGGACTATTTTGAAGAATATAGCCAAAAGTAGCCGGAAAGAGTCACCAAAGCGTCATAAAAAATGCAGTCTCTGAACTTTTTGATCACACCTCGTAATTTTGTGTCGGATCTCAGAGGTGCATGGGCAAAATATCTGGCTCACTGGTTTTTTTTTATTTTAAAAGGATTTTCCATTGTTTGCCTACTTGCCAAAAGTGAATAAGGATTTTCTTTAACTAACCAACCAACTTAAAAATTGCTGTGCCGTCAAAATTTTGCTGGGAAAAATGGGGGAACTTGTCAGAGGGATATCCTGCAATTTTACTTCTCTCCTCAACCCCCTCTCCTCAATTGATGGCCGACCTGACCTTGGGTCGTTCCTGATCAGCCTCCTTTGAACCGTTCTTGCCTGTCGAATACCTCTGAGCAGTCACAAGCATCTGCTCTAAAAGCAGCAACACACAACACACTACGCATTTCTTTAGTGTATTTTCCCTATTTCACAAAGAATTTCACGGCTCTCTGAATTTACACTTTGATTTTACATTCGTTTTCCAAGAAGGTACGAGATCAGAGATCTCGCAGATCAGAGTCCAAAAATATTCCTTAATTTTCAAATGAGAAATTCTGCCCATGTATTCCCAAGATCCAACACAAGATAATTAAGAGAAAGGATATCGAATATCAAAGAATAAAGAAGTTACAGAACCACTTCCGGAACTTACTGATCATCTTTAATAACTTTATCCGGCTCTGTTGATCGGAAGAGACACCTCATTCTAAATTGCATTCGTCAAATATTATTGCAGGATACTAAGATGAGAAAACCATATGTGACAAAAAGAAAGTAAGAATAGAGATTTATGGAGGGCGGAATGTTCCTATATGCAAATCGCACTCAATACATTCGATACGAGAACGAGAAAAGAACAATGCATCGTCAGATTCCTTGATTTCATTAGAGTTGAACTTTATTTTTCATGTTTTGAATGATGCCAATGTTTTGCCACATGCTGTCTTTCTTTAAATGTAATATGTCGCACGTGAAAACTGAGGAATTTTCCCCTCCGCCTTCAAGGGTATTTAGTGAAAGCAAAGGGTTTGAGACTGGGAAAGTTCTTATGGCGAAGAGGAAATGGATTCAAGGGCTGACAAAGTGAGATATGTAAGGAAAGGCAAGTGCCACATCTACGGGCGCTATTGTTACGCCCATTTGCGAGCACTGAGAGGGTATGATGTCATGCATTTATCGTATCTCCTCCGAGGCCATTCCCGCGCGCACATGGTATTGCACGGAGTACACACATGACAAGGATAGGAAACGCTTTTGTTGTGACACGAGACTGCCTCTTTGATCACTCTTCATGGAGACCTCCAAGATGATGATCCTTTCAATACCCATAGCTTGCCTTTTCCTGGTTGCAGTTGGTATCCATGGCCGAAATATCCCGTCAGCAGAGGGAAGTCCAGCTCGGGTCATCGTCCTTCGCCGAATGGCGAAAGGAAATCCCAAATGCACAGCAGCGAGGGTCACCCTCGAAACCATCAAGGAGGGCTATGATGCATATGTGAGTACCATTTTTCTTATACATGTAATTGACCTTGGAAAAAAAAACGGAGAAAGTTCTTTTAGGACGCTACTAATGATGCCCTTTCTACAAGTAGATGGACGAGACTAAGAATCTTGAGGACGACCAATTGGAAGACTTTGATACTTGGGAGTGCCTCCATCATGTCACTGAGATGGTTATGGTGAGAAGCAACCTCTTGATATTCTCATTCTGTGGTGTGGTCGAAGGCCAAGCTGGAGGCAGTTTTGAACCAAGCATTTAATTGGAGTTGCCAATACAAATGCGAGGTGTGTCGAACTCAATAGGCATAAGTCCATTTTTACTTTTAACGAAGATATGTACGTTAACTACTCGAACTGAAGCAGTTAGACATAATACAAATTAACAAATTAACTTGCTTATCTAACAGTGACGGCAGTGATCATACCACAGCATTCAATTTCCTTGGTGTGCCTGAAATTTTTTATTATCTTGGAAGTGTTTCCTTGGACTTAGACCATTTGTGCTCTACATACCTCATTTGTTGGCCTATGCCCAACATGGCTATTCAATTTATTTTGCATAAAATTCAGCCTTCAGAAGGAGATAGGATCTGTGACTATTCTCTGTCATGAAGGCAAAGTCGGCACATTGGAAATTAAAATTCACCTGCAAATGCACAAAGTTACTCAAGCAGCTTCGAGGAGGATAGCTTTCATGAAATTCGAAGATTCTCCGACATCCACATGAGGAGGATTAACTGTTTGGGGAAAAATATTTTTCTTCGATCGCCCAATGCTGTTTGCAGCGATGGGGGTTGGGAAAGGTGTTTTGCAATGCGCTGCACTGTCACGGTATTTGCAGAAATAATGAAAGATGCTATCCGTTTCAAAACTGCAGGAATAATTTGGTTGCCTTCTTGATGAGTTTAAATCTCTGAGTTGTCTTCGCATTTTGCTTTAATATGTAATTTCCTCGGGTTAATCCCATTAGCAGCACAGGATTCAGTAACACGAAAAAGTCACTCCCATATCCTTGAGGAGTTGCACCACTTTGTTGAACCCCTTTCGTCGTAAAGTTGCTTTTATCACGCCTTTCACTTCGAAAAGTTTTGGACGTCGCAAGCTTCTCACCTCGATAAATACCATTATAACGAACGTGGTGACCCTGCCTCAATAGCCACGAGAATACATGGCACGAGGGAGATTTCAAGCATCGATTCGACTTTATTTTTTATCGCTGAATTTTATTTAATTGAAAACCCTGCATAATTGTATTTAGGATTGCGTGCATCATCGCCCTGGGTCAAAACGATAAGGTCCGACTGCTGAAACCTCCTTTAGTTAACGGTCCTTTAAGAATCCATGAACTTTTTGTCTCACCTAAATGTGGTTTTCAAGCATTCGGGCCTCGGACAGAGAACTGCAAATTAGCCAGAATATTGGCTACAGTGGTGCTTACGTGCTTGCTTCGTGAAATCTGTCTATGGTTCAGTCGTCTTTAATAAAGTATTGCAAATTTTTGTGGCAACATTGTGCTTCATAGTCTCGTGCCAAAACTATTTAGCCTCGGGGTCGTAAATCGAAATTAGCATTTATTTGGATAATAGATTTGACCCTGCATTTTAAATCCCTCCAACCTTACTTCCATCTAGAGCACTGCATATTTATTTGCACATGTGCGTGTCAACAAATGCCGGAATGGTTTGAAAGTTTGCGCATCTCCACTTCGTCATTGCCTTCTATTGAAGTGCTTTTTTTTGCCGAATGTGTGTGGCATCTCTCTGTGCCCCAATTCGGTTAGGAGAGGGGATTCCTTACTTCAACATGAATATTTTTTATTAGCCTTGTGGATACTTACCCTTTTTTTTAATAAATACTTTCACTTATCTGGTTGGTCTATGTCCGTTGTCTAAAGAAATAACGCAAGATATGCATTAGACTGAAGAGGAGGATCTTTCATTGATACACGTGGAAGACAATCAAGATCAAAATTTCGAGGCATACACAGATAGGTAAATAGTGTTACAATGCTATTGATCACTCTCAAGCAATCGGCCATTTCTTGCAAGATTTCACCCAATCTATTAGTGTATTACTTTTTTTTAGCTGGATAATTTCTATCAGAAGGTTATTCTTTTTCAGGACACAGAAAATCCGGATAATGTTGCCATTTTCGCTGCACTCCACGAGTACCTGCTCACCTTGAAGGTGATCCGGATGGACCACGACGGAGTCCATTTGAACGAGCCGGAAAACCTTAATTACCTCGAGAACATCATCAACGACCTCAACGTTGTGAGTTTCCCAAGATCATCTACGATGTACCAAATCTCAGGAGGAAGCATAGAGGGTTGACTTTTTTTCTATTCGGTTGTAGGCAGTTTGCGAGATGAAACTGAGTCTGGAGGATACCGAAGGCATTTACATAAAAGGGGAAGAATGCAGTCTATCAGAGCAAATGGAAAAGTGCCGATACGACGAACACCGATGCGACCAGAAGTGCAGGAATGGGATATTTCTCTGCAATTTGAAGAATTTAATGGAAATTTCCCTGGCCAAGGTCTGCGCGTCGTGACACCAACGTTCTTCCTTGAAGATTCCGGAATCTCACTTTGAGATATAATTGCTTTGTCTTGATGTCCAAAATGCAAGAAAAAAAAACACTATACAAAATACAATAAGTCGATGTCAATTTATTGCTGGAAGTGTCAAGTAAGAAACTCATCCAGCACTGAAACCCAATATGAAAAAGGGAGAACAGTTTCGATACAGATACCCAGATGTGTATCACCTCACAAAAAGGTCAAGAACTCCCTAAGGTCTCACTAGCAAAAAAAGGCCAAGGAAAAGATGACGGGAAGAGCATGTGAGAGAGACAGGGATCGTTCTTAACTTGTGCTAACCATTCTGCACAGAGAGAAGTCCTGACATGGATTTTTCGTCACACCTGTCTCCTTTTACTCACATTTCTCCTTTATAAAATGCAAATGAACTTTCAAAGAGTCCAAGCCACATCAAGAGAGTAGAAAGTGGCAAATCACCGTCGCAAGTGCCATGCACATCGGATACAACTGTTACCCGAAGAATTCTGAGGTTGGGTTTACCCTCCAAGCAAAATCCGAAGGGTAACACCAACTGTGAACAGTAGTATTGATAGAATTCAGCGAAAAATATTGCAGAAAGTTCACGGATAATTATGTGTTCCTTCAGTCCTCTTGAATGCTTTGGATACGCGGGGTTTTCTGGTAGGTTCAGGTAAGGAACCACTTCTTGATCCCTTACTCGACCCACAAGACTCCATTGCCTGTATATCGCTCTACATTCTCCAGAATGTTTTTCAACCGTTGGTCCTTCGCCGGACGGTCGCATTTCGCGGGTCCGCGAAAAAACCAGTAAAGTGACTAATTTTTAAAGGGAAAATTAAGCTTTTAGAGTAAGTTGTGATCTGTCAATTTCCTTATCCCCGTCAACGAGGTACACTTTAAACACAGCCCGTCATCCTAGGACTGTTACTTCAATTCATATTTTTGAGTCCAAGAACACAACCAAAGGTAAGGTAAGAAACCCAAATGCTCTTGCCAAGCCTGAGTTTCGACTACGCTCTGACATAAAGTCACCAGTGGCGTCAGAATTTCCATCTTTGAACGATTGAATACACTGGGTAACATTCTCATACAAGCAAGCAGAGTCCCCATACATGGTCTTCAAATTCCCATAGATGTTCCTGGGGGGGGTTCCTGAGTCTCCAGAGAGTAAAATGGTAAAAGCGCCAACTCCCCTGAGAAATTTCAAATATTTCGAGGCACAGGCTGAAATTATCACCTCTTGAACTCTTCCGGATGCCAACAGACCATGAACCGACCATGATTCGCAACCTTCCTGCATGAGCAACATACAGGTATATCCTTAGCAGTGCCACGTCTCGCATCAAAATTCCCCCCCTTTCATATCCCAAACACACAACCAATAGTTGTCATTACTTTTTAAACATCACTCGTAAAGGAAACAACCTAACTTGTCCTTTGGACACTTCTTAGGTTCAATATACTAGTATTGTATTAAACATCAATACATGTTTTTTCGTTTTTTCTTCCCGGGTGGCTTTTTCCCGACGACCCAAGAAAAACTTTTTTCGTGAAAGAAAAATTCCTACATGAAGGGCGAAGCAATAGGTGATCTGGAATCCGTTTGGGAACTTATATTTTAAGTTGGAGGATTATTACCATAGTTCAACTTTGTTGAGATACCCGACGATTTTAGCTGGAATTTAAGAAAAGATAAAGCAAGGGATACTTCTTCCTGGAGTTCCATATATTCCTTGAAAAGACATAAAACTAAATTTAACACTTTCGCTGCCAAGCCATTATTTGGAGGCCGTTCCCCTGAGGCCAAAGTAATACTCCTAATTCTGATGTGCATGACACAAGCGATTCCGTGAAAGGTGGGGATCCACTGGAGATGATGAACGCATGGGGCGGCAATCGACAAGCCGTAATGACGAAACTGAGCTTGTCCGCAATGACTGTCGGCAATCAAACGGTACCTATGTCGTACCGTTGAATTTCTAACCAATCTTGGAGTGCCATTGCTCCCACATTCTTTGTATTCCTTGGACCTCGAACCTTACGACTTCAGGCTGATTCCAAAAATGAGGTGCCTTCGATGAATGGCCGCCGCTTCGACGACATAGGCGCTTGCCAATCAACTTGCGACCAACGCGTTGGACAAATTTGCCAAGAAAGGGTTACAGTCTGTTCTAAGCTCTTTACAAACGAAAGGAAATGTGTGTTGCAAGTCAGGTTGAACTAGAGGGTTGACTGGAAAAAATTAAGCAACTTGAACATTTCTTTAAACAGATAAATTCTTCAGCGAAAATGTAAGGATACCTTGTTGACGAGGTTCTTCAAGAGCTGTTGAAGTACAGTATATGCACCTTTGCCCATCTACTCTTGAGTCATGACAGATTTAATCGAATTGGTCAAATTTTCTGAGTGAACAGGCATGTGACTGCCAATGGGGAGGTACGAATCTGCATTTGATTTTTGCCTAATGGATCAGTTCCTCTGGGATAATCCTTGCGAAAAAATTAATAGAACTTTGTCAAAAATGTGTACTCATCCATAAAAAGTTAATGCATCTGCATGCATTTTCCGGGATCCTCATGCAATTTGGATTCGGGCCTCGCAATGGCAGTCGCATGCCCTTTCTTTGCCATCTCAACAAAAAATGCCATAACTCATGAATGGGTATCCATAAATTCATATAATTTCAAGAGCTCTAGGAAAACATTGTAGCCAACGTTCCATTAAATTTTCAGACTAATCAATTACAAGGTATGAATTCTATAGAAAACTTTCAAGTTGCATTCTTTTCTTGTCATCCATGCATTCCAAAAGGGATCATTCTGAAACAGAGCGTCTGCACATAGTTTGCTCATATGAAAACCGGTTCTGGACCTTTTTGATATGTCCACGTACATACTGTACTATATATAAAGACTCCCGTAATATGCCCTATACGCAGAAATGAGGAAGAAGTAATTTCCACTTTACCCTTATACGGAGATATGCTTATATTGAATACATTGTAAAAAAAGAAATGGGAAATGAAACACCATCAATTTGATTTAAAATTGACCTCATCAAAAGGCGACGATAAAATTCGTAAGATGAAAGGAAGAGATCAATAGATCGTATCACGCAAAGCAATGCAAACCACCCGTCGACAGGTCGTATGATCTGGTAGAAAGGACCTGTACGACCCGCCGGCGGCTCGTATGACCCAGGAGACGAGAGAACGTACGACCCTCCGGCGGGTCGTATGGCCTAGGAGGAGAGAGCCCTTACGACCCGCCGGCGGGTCTTATGGCAGCGAAAGTGTTAAAAAGGCGTAATAGTTGAAAGGATTGAAAGAGGAGACACTGGGTCATCCTCCCCCAAATTGTAAGAAAAGTGACCACAGCATTGTGGGAAATTTGAACACACCACTCACATCGCCTGTGTTTATGCAAGAAGGGCATGAATGCCTCTGAGGTTACTTTTCAGTGGACGACAAAACTTCCGAAAATATGTGTAACAATCCCAGCAGTTATAAAGGATTGACAGTTTCACCAAGCTAAGAGCAGTATGGCGTTAATAATGACTGTTACACATATTTTCCGAAGTTTTTGTCATCTGCTGAAAAGTCACCTCAGAGACATTTATGCCCTTCTTGCATAATCTTCCTAGCCATTAAAACTCAATATATTATCTAGTTCTTTTTTTTTTTACATTGAGCCACGTATAGATCAGAAGTTTTAGCTATTCCGTATGCCTTTGAAGCAGCATAGCTACCAAAAGTTCCAATTCTTACGGCTGAAATAATCCTGTTCAGGTCTTCCTAAAGGTATTATTCATTAAATTACACGTCCTGGGTATTTGAAAATGATTTGAAGCAAAATTATTAGGAAGTCATAATCTTCCAAGTGTAAGTGGCCACGTTAACTCAAGCGCATAAATCATTTTAAACTGGCACATTTTAAACACCAAACAAATAATAGCATAGAACGAATTGTTACAGTTTCATGATTATGATTTAATGTACAACGTAATTGCTTGAAACCAGGGCGTCGGAGCTGTAACGGAACGGAACGGTAAACCGGAATTGAACTTTTGATTTCACCTGGAACGGAACGATATAACCAGGGAGAAGGGATAATATAACGAAACGGAACTTTCTGATCATACCGGTTTGTAACGGTTTATATCGTTACACTGAGGGGGCGACCAGGGATATACCAGCATGCCAAAGCTGACACTCGCGTTTTGAGTCATGACAGGAAAGGGTTTCTCTTTTCTTCGTTGTCATCGTACTCTACCTGTCTTAATCTTCAGTTTTTTCGCCTCGCCTTAGGAGTCGGTTATCCCTGAAACTTTCACTCACGAATTATGAAGTGTGGAAGGCATGTCTTGGGTCGTGCCTCGCAGGTGTCACCTGAGCGGTGTATGCGTATGTTCTACATGGTATTGAATAGTTTTATATTGAAGTATTTTCACTCTTATGGCTATCCCATGTGCGGTGCTGTATGATATGTACCTCTGGTACAGTAGTGATATTTGATACAGAAATGGACTTCCTCACAGATGATCGAACCAAAAAGTAACCCAGTTTATAAGTATTTCCTCTATGATCCACATGAGGACGAGTCGCGCTGTCAGGTAGGAAGATTGCCCACTTCCTAACGTCAAGGTGAATCTCTTATTCATATAATATTCGATTTGGCTTCGCTCGAAGTCTCCATGAAGTCTATGAATTTATGATCCTGCAGTCAATACGATAATTTTTTTTCACATTCAATAAGAATACAAATAACATTTGGGTTTCTTAGGGCAATCATGGAGGGAACCTCGAGCGCCATATCAGTAGACATCACTCATGTTCATGAACATTTGAGTGATTGGAATGGAAGGAAACAGGGAAGGTAACAAGGAAACATTGTAATAAAGGAGATTGTAATAGAGACATGCTGGGTGTGTGCATTGGAACTTTATTGATAACGTTATGAAACGTTATAACGGAACGGAACTTTATATATTCCAACGTTAAAACGCTCTGGAACGGAACGTTTTCCCTTGAAACACAAACGGATTTAGAATCTTACAGGGAAAGACGATTGCAGTCGAAAAAAAGATAAATTAAGCCACTTACATGACTCTTGATTTATGAATTATGCAGTCCATAAGGTAGGCAAGGCCCGCCCTAGCTATTTCGGCGTCCTATGCAACAAGACTCCCAACGCCGCCCCCCTTAGAAAGGAGAAGGGTCAATCCCTAGAGTCCAAAATGACATCAAGACGGATTTCCACTTTCTGAAATAAGTCTGAGGGTGGCATCCATTCTTGCGTCATACATTTAGTCACGTTTTGGTGCTCCTGGTGAACTTGCACCCTGTGCGGGGTACATGTGACACGTGCCTAAGGCCGGTCCTGAGGGTAGGTGAGGCAAAAGACCAACCCTGCCATAAAGTAGAAAGACTCAATTCAACATGACAAGAAATTCAAATAGCCTTTTCCAACCAAATTACATCAATATTAAAAATGTGAATGGACAGTGTCTGCATTTTTATCTCGTATGGCATAGATCCCAAAACCATCAATTCCAAAACGCAGGTGAGGGGCCTAAGGAGGTAGGAAGTTATATCACTTACTTTCACCGATATACATTAGGGTAAGTCGATCTGAAAAGTATACACCAGGGGTGCACAACATACGGCCCGCCATGATTGGTGGCATTGCAAGTGCTACTACGGCTCCTGTCCTGTTGGCCACAGCTCTGGTCAGCCAGACTGTGGCCCGCAGTAGGTGAATAAAAATCGCAAATGGCCCTCACAACATTTTTGAGTTGTGCACCCCTGGTATACACTGTTTTCAGATTGAATTCGTACCTCCTCTCCCTCCTCACCCGGGGTATGGGAAAACGGAGGAAGCACTACTTTCAGAGGATCCGCCTCATCAGATGATCCAAAAAAACAACCGTTGTGGTAGGTGTCACTACTTGTTATCGATAGAAGCGCTCCCATGGGAAGGAGGGGAGTGGGAGACCAACTCATTTCGAAAACAGTGTAAATGGGTATAGGTATGGGTATGGGAATGGTTAACTTGAAGGGACGAAGAATGAATGGGACATTTCAGTTTTTCTTCTTGCTAACCCTGTATATTTTCGGTTTTCGCCGATTGCAGAAACCCACATTGGAAATGATTTCATTTTAATTCTGCAAGAAGTATGGGTACAGTGTTTCCATTTCCCCTTGGGAAGCTTGTGGGAACGCCGTTCCCAAGGCTCCCCGCTTACTTCCATCTCTGCTTAAACATCATTTGGGGGCTCCCAGCGGTGCCATGTGATAGTCACGTGGATCCGCTGCGTCGCCGTACGAGATTGGAGACGGAATGAGTCAATTCCGATTCGCTTCGCAATTTCTCGACCTAAACTCGTACAAATTTTGATTTCGACGATATGTGAAGTGAATCTGATTGTAGTTCAGCTAACTTCAATCCGAAACTTGATCACTACGGCAGTGATCAAGACTCAGCTGCATGGCACGTTAGTTTCACTGTTGTCCAACATGGGGACTGTGCTCTCCATCTCGCGCGCGTTTCTCATTTTAGAACTGCTTCAGTTACATTGAATCCGAGAGAACATAGGTAAGCCGCTAGTCTATCCTTCTCTGACAAATCTTACGTAAGTTGGTGAGTCCTGAGTTATAAGACCAAACATACGCCTATTTTGGCGTCAGCTAATCTTAAGCCTGTTCTATATCTGATTTTTTCTTGTGTTGGTACTAGGAGCATAGGTTAGTCTAAGGGTACTCTACTTCACACTAATTTTATTTAGGAGTGACCTTGTTCTTGAAGACATGCTCTCCACATTTATCACGAATAGAATCAAAGACTGATCGGCCTACCTACTTTCTGCAGGCATATATACCTAGAATGGAATTATCGTAGATGACTTCTGAAGAGATAAAATTGTCCAGAGTGAACGGAGACATTAACAAGATGAGTGCAAAGGAGCTCAGTAATAAGTTGGAAGCCCTGCATCTTGACACAACTGGGAGGAAAGAGGTATTGAAGCGACGACTGAAGACCTACCATCGCCTGCGGAGAGGAGATGTAGGCCCACATCTGCATCTTCCAGTATATTTTGATAACCTGATAGTCATTGATTTTGAAGCAACCTGTGATACAGTTCCTCAACCTCAGTGAGTATTTGAAACTTGGACATCATTTACAAGTTTGCTCTTGACAGTCTTTCTTTAGGCTTGGGCTACTTTATTCTGTCTACCAGTATTATCATTTGAGTTTCTTTCAGGCAAGAAATCATAGAGTTTCCAGCAGTGCTGATTGACTGTCACACATTGTCCATCCAGGATGTGTTTCATGCTTTCTGCAAGCCAATTATTCAGCCAAAGCTCAGTTCGTATTGCTGTGAACTGACTGGTGTTTTACAGGTGATAATCATTTTTATGGTCATCAGTTATGATTTTTGGAACATTAACACTTAGGCCTAGGCCTATGCCAGGTATGAATGGAATCAAAACAGGGATACATTTAATCCTATTACCATGGGGTTAGTGGTAGCCCTTGGGTATAGGTTCACTCAGTCATTTTTCAGTCTAGTGGGTTTTCTTGGGTCTTATATATATATTTAAAAAATAATATTCCTGGACTTCAAGAATATTAATTTCCTTCATCTTAAATATGGAGGATGAAAGACACCTTACTAGTGTAGGAAAATTTATCATAGCCCTTAACCAATCTGTTTGTTGTTATGCAGTCAAATTTCCTAGGAATCAGATAGAGTTATACAATTTAGACTGAGTGTCTATTTGTTTCAGGTTATTTCCTATGCCATTAGGATTCACTTCTGATGTTGGGCTTGGGAATTCATTTTTATACACTTACCAGAGTTTCCTCATCTGAACCAGATCACTGTTTGAGTAGACAGGCAATAAATGAAGTATATATTGTAAGGCAAACCTACAGCCTGCAGGCAAGATACAGTCTGTATGATATTTATATCCAGCCCCCAAAGCTCTTGCCCCAAATTGTAGATTGCAAGCTGACAATACCACAGTGAATTCTTGACTGCACATACTTAATTAGTAGCTTTCTAATAATTTATTTGAATATGTCCAGCCATCTGGACTGCACCTAACTTCTAGGCAGGGGCAGATACAAGGGGGGGGGGGCAGGGGGAGCGACTGCCCCCCCCCTATAGCCAGGTTAGCATTTGATTTATTTATTCAAAATAGTATCTGCATTAAATTTTATTGGAGCCAGTGAAAAGATACTCAAGTTCTTACCCCAGATGAAAAATAAAAAGGCGAAAGGAAATGGTGGTAGGCAGGGAGGGGGGTAGGAACTTGGGAACTCATGAGATATTTCTGTATCTGCCCTTGCTTCTAGGTGGTCCTCAACCTACAAAGGCCAGCTGCTCTTGCCTTGGAATATATTAACATATAGTCAGTCCAATTTAGCAGCAATATACGGCTGCTAAATTCAACACATTCATTGCCCGATAATAGACAGAGGGGAAGTAATCCATCTATGAAATTTTAGTTTACATGATGAATAGGGATAGGGGAAGGTGATAAAATTCAAATGTTCAACCCCTTCCATTTTCCTTGGAGCATTAAAATTCAGATCATCTTTGATTCACTCCAATGTTATTGAAATCAAACTAGGGTCTGGGCTAGTCTTAGAAGCAGTTTCCAATTTTTTTAACGCTGTTCTAAACTTCTTACAGACAATACCATAGATCTACTTAGTCAAAGGTAGGGAATAAGCTACATGAGAATACTGGCTGGAGTTAGTTATAGATTCACGGTGTTGGACCTCACCTTTATCTTGCCACAATGCTGTTGTATGTGTATCTTTAAGCTGTAAGTCTCATATAGGCCCTGTTGTTTACATTTACATTTTCTTTCCTTCAGAGTGACACTGATTCTGCCCAGACATTCTCAAGTGTTCTGGCAGACTTTGATGAATGGAGGAAGAGACACAGTCTGGGATATGGGAAAAAGTTTGCTATTGTCACAGATGGCTCCTGTGATATATCCAAGTTCCTCCTGCAACAGTGCCTAGTATGCTTCCCTTTCATATTATTCTGAATTCATAGTCCTAAGGAGGTGAAGCTTTTGGAACTGACCTGAGAAAAAGAAAAGTATGTCTGTTGGATTTTATATCCTAAGTAGTGTTTATGACCAGGCCATGTGAAAGGGAATACCTTCCATGGCTCATTCAATGAATTTGGAATATTTGAAACATCAAGTTGAGCAATTCAAGTCTTATTTTGAATTGCACTTGGTTCTATGAAGCACCATTGTGTGCTGTGAGTTATTGCTCAGTCTGAAGTTTAGCTGTGACCCAGTCAATATTCTGGGTACAGTATAACCTAAGGATTAAAAATAGGGATTGTTAGAAACACTATGCCAAATTGTGGTTTTTGGTACATTGATGGCAGCTTTGAATCCTTTACATAATACAACTTTCCAATAATGCACTTGAGAAGTGGATGGGAATGACTCATTTTGTCTTGTACCTTGCCAAAAGTTCTTCAAGAGTCATTGGGTTGTTTACTGAGTCAAGGAAAATTAAGAACTAGACTTACGAAATGCTGAGCAATGAAGTGGAAAAGTAAGTCTGCAACAGTGGCAGCTCGAGATATTCAGCAGTAGTGGATCATCAATGGAGGCAGGGTAGGCCTGGGTCTGCCCTACCCCCATTAAGAATACACTACTGCTGACATGAGCTGCCCACGGTCTGCAAGCAGCACTTTCCTTGAATTGGAAAGGGATGTATAGTGGCATCTTCTTAGGATTTGATGAAAGTGATAGACATTCTGATCATCCCTTCTCTCTGAAAGTATATTTTTTACTTTACATGTTCAATTGCATTCTCTATACTATATTGTTTTGATTTGTGTAATTTTCAATGCATTATGTCATCATTATATGTTTCTTTAGATCTCAGGGATGCAGATACCAACATATGCAAAGAAGTGGGTGAATATCAAGAAAATCTACAGCAATGCCTACAAGCTACCAAGGGTTTGCTTGACACTTTATCTCAAATTTTCATTCTCTTGATGCACTATATCATCTCAGAAGGGAAAAGATAAAAACTTGATCTACCTGTAGTTGCTGGGATAGAGAATTTCTAGTACTTGTGTGTTTGTCAATTGCTTTGATCACAGGCAATATGAATTAAATTGTTTCCTATTGCAGACAACTCTTCCTTTGATGCTGGAAACAGTGGGTTTAGAACTGGAGGGGAGGTTGCACTGTGGAAAGGATGATGCCCTGAACATCGCATCCCTCACTCTCCGCCTCATGAAAGATGGTGCCTACATCTATAACAATGAGAGACTTGAGGTCATATGGGACAAGGAAAAGAAAAAAGTGATGAGTAAACAGGTCATCCCTATGAGCTGGAAGGAGTTCTCAGACAGTCGACCCAGAGTCCGTGTTCATCTTCCCATAATCTCTATAAATGCCCCTGAAGAGGATAAACAGGACCACTTGTGAAAATTGAATTGTGATATTTAGGGTCACATCTTCAATCATTTTAGTTCTTGAAAATGAATTCATTCAAAGACATGGGATTCTTTATTATCACATTTTTCTCCTTGGAATGGCATGGACAATCACTTAGGAAGGGAAGATTTGTACAAGTAACTACCACATCAGACACCAACCCAAACCAATGTGAAATGAAAGCAGACACATACACATCAACAAATTTGCATAAAAATGCATTTTATCACCAGGCCGTACAGTGAAGGTAAAAAAAATCATTTGGAGCATGTAACAATCAAGAATACCATCTTTTGTAACTCATGAGCCAAGGTGCCCATCAGCTTGCAATCCATGGAATTCCTGAGTTTCTAAAGGGAGATCGACCCACACCCTGACACTAGCATGGAAAATGTCAAGTCGCAATGTTGATAATTTCAAAACCTTGACCTTGTCGTTACTCTCAATGAAGCTCTTACTGGTGATGGCAGAATCAGTAAGATTCTGCCATCACCAGCAAGACTAGAGATGTCCAACCATTGAATGGACTACAGCCTTTTCCCTGGCCAGTTTTGTCACTGTACCGCTCCCAGAAGTATCCTGTGCGAAGATATTCATTGTAGATAGTTTCTATCACATTCATTCGGAGCTTGCTGTAGAGCTCTTGGGCTTGGCTTTTGTATGGGCCTGGCACATTTGCATAGTGATGTAAAGCTCTTAAAGCTAAAAAGTTCATGTTCATCCAAATATCACCCCTCCAATATGGAGGATCATGATCTGTATTTTTCCTCTGGTAGAAATTTGAGCTTTTAGCCAAAGATCTCAAACCATGCTTGGTCCAGAGGAGAGATGGATTAGGGAGGTCATCAAGAATCTTTTTCAACCGGGGGGAGTTTGGCTCAATAAGATGAAGAAAAAATGGAAACAGGTTCAAGTAGCCAAAAAAGTTCACATGAGTTAGTTTAGCTGGCTCCAGGGTGACACGAACTCGATCTGGATTTGGGTTCTTATAAGGGAGTGGTGGTTTCTGCAGTTGTACATTCTCACTGTGCATCCCATAGTCTGTAAATGCACCATACTCATCAGACCAATACAAGGAATCCAGGAGCTTGGAGTCACGGAGGTAATGATAAGTGCCCTGGAATCGAGATGAGTCCTCTCCAATGAGGTCAGCCAGATCAGAAAGGACCTTAGAACTGAAAGCCATCCAGCAATGAAGGTCAAGGTGTCTCTCGTGCTCATCAGGATGGGATGCACGGGGATAATCATCAAACCCAGAAGTTAATGTTTTTGGATTCAGCTCATGCTCTGAATATGGAAACCTCCCTCTCCATCTATAGGATCCAGGGACATTTCCACCTTGAGTTGTGTTGAACCAGTTGTACCATGCCACAAGTCGAGGCCAGAGACGCTGAAGAAATGCAGCATCTTGTGTTGTCAATGAATCTTTCCACTCCTTCAGCAAATACTCAACAGTGAGTAGAAAAGCTGGGGGATTGGCATTGGTATTATGCTGCACAATGAAAGGTTCAGGAGTACGCTGCCTTGCTTCTTTCCCAAGAATCTGCTCTCGAGGGATCCAACCCTCCACATTCATGAGGTCAAACCAATGAGACATTATGTCTTTGGTCATCTCCTTATTATATTGGGCTATCAGAAGGTTGTGAAACCCTTCATCCCACAGGAAGCCTCGAGGAAAGAAACTACGAGATGGGACCCCAGTGTACAAGGGAGCTTTCCAATAGGGCACTGGCTGCTTGTTATAGTGACTGATAACCCTGGAAGAGCCATAGAAGTACCCTATACTTCCAAGCATATTGCTCAAAGCAGCTTTCCCAAATGAAAGCAAGCTCTCATTGTGAATACCATGTTCTCTGAGGTTAAACACATGCTGAAAGCTGTCTTCAAAAGCAGTGCGGTGTTTCTCAAGCTGTGCTACAAAATATGCATCTTTCAGGAATGCACTACGCTTTGTAAAACTGCCAGACTTAAACATCACATTAAACTGGAGATTTTTCCCAGCCTGAACAAGTGATATGACCTCATAGACAATGAGATCAGACTCATGATTTGGCACCAATTGTTCTCCAATCAAGGCATACACAGAACGTTGACCTACTCGTACCAAAGACTGCTTTACAACATCATGAACTCTTTCAATGCCTAAAGAGGCAGTTCTTAGAAAGTAGGTATCTATGACAGCCCCAGAGATGTGCTCAAATTCAATGTCAAAATTACCCAAGTAAGGGGTACTACCTACAACACCCTTCAAAGAAGACTTTCCTGAATCAAATACTGGCTCTATCCATCCTGTGCTTTCCTCCTCAAAGGTGATGTATATGAAGATATGGGTCAAACTGGTCAGGTGTTCCACCTGGAAATGAAATCATGCACTGATGAATAAATGATGCACATATTTGAGAGGTGATACAGCTTCACAAAAAAAAAGAGTAGTGATGAACCACTTGTACTCAGGCATAGTCAATGTTGGTTTAAAGTGATAAGACATGAATTTTGACTGCCAAGCCCCAAACTTTTATTTTTGGTCTTCTTTTCATAAGTGAAAAAGAATATATAACAATCTTTTCTTCTTTATCGCTTCTTCAGTGGAGAAACTATACTTTACTTCTGACCCCATTTCAAGACTCTCATGTATATTTTGATTCAAAGAAATACATTTTCATGACAAATATGGATTACCATTTATGTTTTATTTTTCTCATATTTTATTATTTTGCATGGCAACTAGGCAGGCTTATTTCTAGAATTGCTTCACTGATGGCATCATAAACCTATAACCTTAGGGAATAGGAACTACTACTTTAATTTTTTCTCTTTGTAAAGTTCCCACAAAATTATTTGTATACATTAGTATGCTTGATTTAAGTTCTCAATTATGAGCATGATTATTTCAATATTTTTACATAAAAAGTTCTTTTGCTTCCGTGAAGAAGATTTGAGGTGTGTTCCTTGGTTTACAGGAGCCCTCACCTGGTGAAAGATAGGGGGGATGTAGCTGATATTCTGTTCTTCATATATAGGGTTGATCAAAATAAAGTAAGCCATTTGAAAATTTCCTATAAAATCTATGTTTTTTAAAAATTACAACTGACTTGAAAATTTAAAGCAACAAATTGCTTAATATGTTTTTCAAGAGCTCTTAAAATTTAGTATCCCTACCACTACCCATGCTTGAGTTATGGCAGATTTTGTCAAAATTGCCAAAATTCTGAGTGGACAAGCAAGTAATGAAGGAATTCCCATTTGGTTTTTCCTTAAAAAAATCAACTTCTGCAGATGTATTATCATGAAAACTTAACAGGACATTATCATATGTGTTTTTCATGATCTCAAAATTTCATGCATGTGCATGACATTACAGGTAAATATTAAATTTGCCTTGTGGCCACCCATGCACACCAAAAAACTTAATAAAAAAAAACACCTTTCTTTGATGTCATGGGATAGGTCAAAAGGACAATTTGTTTCCAGATGTGACCTCTATGTTATCCGTTGAAAAGTTTCTTCTGAAAATTTTATCCTATTGTTCTGCCTTGTTGCATGGTGTGGTATTTTTTTAAAAGTACTTTTAAGTATGCTCAGGTTTTCACACAGGAAAACTTTATAACATTTGCATGGGAATGCCTAAAATTTCATGCATGATTACATTTTTATCAAGAAAAACACACACATGACAACTTCACATTAAGTTTTCATGATGATCCATCTACAGGAACTGATTTTTTAAGCATAATTCAGGTATGAATTTGTGTCTTGCAAATCACATGCATGTTCACAAAGAATTTTGACCATTTTGTCACAATCTACCATAACTCAAGCATGAGTATAGGTGCATGATATTGCAAGAGCTCTTGAAGAACATATTAGGTTTTTTTCATCAAATTTTCAAGTCAATAGGTAGAAAAATATGGATTTTATAGGAAATTTTCAAGTGGCTTATTTTTATTGGCCAACCTTTCCTTCTTATGGAGAGGAACTCCTCAGTCCTTTCTTAATTCATAATCCAAATGAAAAAAGTACTTGGGAGACTTCCTTCATGCTAATAACAACTTAACCAGGAACAAAAAGTAGTTGGATAATCTATCATCTCCATAAATGAAAGATATAGTCAGCTGATGTTGGTAACATACCAGCATCATATATAAAATTAAACATAAATTCAAATAATGGCTTCTGCAAAGATATTATTGAGGGGCTGTCATCCTCACTAATGTTGACTAGAAAAGCAAAGAATAACTGGTATGGCTGACAAGGAACATGAAAATATACCTTTGGTTCCACTTCAAGTTGAAAAGTCCAGTCTCCTCCATGACGTCCACCAATTTCTTTTACAAATGTCACACGGATGTTGAATGTCTTGTCATAGAGTATCTGAGTTCCAAAAGTTGATCCATCATGATATTCCCAATTTGCACGTACATCCTCTCCAACCTGACACCAATGCCTAGCAAATGAGGAGATACCATAGGGAGGTCTACATCAGTCAAGGCAAATTCTTTAATAATAATATACTCTAGTACACTGGTGGACAAAATTAAGGTAACACCATTTTTCGTCAATATTTTAATTACAATAGTAAGTTAGAATGTGAAAATACGTTACTATGTGCATTGCAACATGTAATTTTTCAGTCCAAAGTCCAAAGTTCCTCCTTTTTTCATACACTTATCGGTAATGATTAATTGTATCTCTCTACAAATTTTCATTGATATAACTCATAGAATAAAGACATTATTCTGGTTTTTGTGATTGTTACCTTAATTTTGTCCACCAGCATATGTACCCTGTAGTCTAACAAAATGCCTCTAGTTCATAACCCTTCCTCTAATTACAGCTCATACCCCCCCAATTTCATCTTATTTTCAAACCACTGGCCATGATATCATGGAAAATCCCCACCCCCTCCCATGCCTACTTGCATGCCACATCCAGAGCCCTATTAGCAACTCCATGAAACTCAGCTGGAGTGAATAGCTCCCATGTTGTTTCCAAGTAGGTTTCTGATGTACAGCCTATGATCATGTTACATACTAGGGTTACTCAGATTTGAGAGCTGATTGCACAGCAGGCCAAACATCATGATGGGGCTTGGGTGGAGTGTGCTAGGTGAGGGAAAGATACCAACACAAATATTTAAAATGCATTTATAATGGTAAGGTGTTTGACCAATTCCCTGCAAGTGAAGTCCTAATAGTCAATTTCCCATCTGGAAAATTCCCTATAGGCAGTATAGCAGTACAACTGTCATGCGGTGTGGATAAAATTCAATTGATGGTAAATTGAAGTTTTTGAAATTTAAATACTGCAGTCCTAGGAAAATCCTGGAAGAGGGGTGAGAACTTTTCAGGACAGTTGGGGACTTGTATAGGGTGGCGCAAAAGTTCCTGCCATTTTTTCAAAGTTCCAATTTTATTTAAAATATCAACTATTTTAAAAAACAATGTGAGAAAAAAGAAAATTCATCATCTGGGAACACAATGAGATCATTTTTGCTCGAAATGACTACCTCTAGCGTTGATGCACATTTCATCATGATGATTTAATTCCCTGGTCATACATTTTTTGGCAACAAGTTTATTAAGCATGCACAGCTCCCTCTTGAAGTTGACATCCTTCTGAGCAGATAGCATGCTGTGTAAGATGACTATGATCACTCCTTGTAATCATCAAGCTTACTTTGGTTTTCCCTTATTTTAACACGTTTGCTACCACATCTGACCTCCAGTTTGATAAGAACTGCGGCACCTGATCACATGTAGGATGGTGGTAGCGAATGTGTTAAGTCTAGGAAGGATCCTGAAGGCTAGTTATCTTGGCTGCCATCAAGAAGACCAAATGAAAATTATAAAGTTGCACAAGAAAACCTTTGAATGCCATTGGAAGGGAACTGCTCTTTTACGACCATTGGAAAGGCATACTAATTTTTCTAGAATGTATTTTCGTAATGCTTTGCTGTTGTTATAGCAGAGTTTCCTCATAAAATACAAATGTATAATGCTAGGGTATCAAATTTACTCAGACTCCTGTTATTCATCCGAATGATGGGATTTTTATTATCAATGAGTTGCTTGAAATTTAACCCAATGAGAGAGACATACTTCACCAATTGTATTAACTTTGACTCTGATCAAATGGTTCCATGGTTATGAGTTCTCAAAATCACCAACTTGAGGTGTGCCTTGCTCAATCTTCTAGATTAGATAGTCTGGATAGCACTTTGGAAAGGCTAGTTGACCAGGCATAGTCAAGAAATTTAAAAATGAAATTTGTATGATTTAAATGGTAATAGAAGAATATTTTTGGGATAAGTGAAACTAGATAGTGATATATCTGCAAATTTTCTATAAAATTTTCTGAGCTACCCTTGGGCATGGAATAGATAATGAAAAATGGTTGTCTTTGTTGATGGGTAAGACTTTTTGACTCATAAGTTAGCTTCATAGGAAAGGCTTAACTATGCAGAATTTGTCTGTAATATCAACTCTGAAAATCTGGAAAAAATTTATTTATTTATTAAAAATCTGGAAAAGTTTTTCCTTTTTGATGTCAAAAATGTGTCTCCTTGTGCAGACAGGATTCTAGTTGAACTGCTTTCCCTAAAGGCTACCATACCATACCGTAATGGAGGAAGTTCATAGGTCTTTATATTGTCTTCAGATAGCCACATCAGTCCCACAACAAGAGAGCCAGGAGTACGAGTCTTCATTCCAAAGTAGGTTCCTGGACGATAAGTTCCCCAGAATCTTTCAGGAACTTCCAATCCTTCCCGAACAGTAACCTGGAAAAATGTTAACACTTAGTAGAAAAAAATTACTAGCCACAGGATCTCAGAGTTAACCTGAGAAATCCTATTGCATGAGCTCTCAACTTCTTCACAATGGCTTATTAATGTTTCCTTTAAGGTAAATAAGAAATGTTACAGTCCATCATAGGTAAAAACTACACCTTTCTTTGATTATTCCTCTATGCATACAGAAAGATGGGTGGGAGAGATCACAAAGAGCGACTAAAGATGCCAAACCATAATAAGTTAAGGGATAAAGAGATGCAGAATCCCTGTGGGGGCATATTTCTGTTGCTTTCAGGCCAACTTGATAAAACAGCTGGCATCCTTTCCTCCCTATCTGGCTTTTCCTTGGTTTTAGACATTTGCTTTATTTTATTTGTTCATCTTTTGCTTCACTGCACATTTTTCAATTACTTTCATAGTTTGATGCTGAATTTGAAACTCTCTAGGCAGTACACAAGAGCATGTTTGCTTAGGCAAACCATGAAAACACGAAACTCCCTCTCTCTCTCTCTCTCAACCACACACAGTGAGACACATTTGAGTCTCACTGTCATCAATTTTGCTCCTGCTCAAATTGCTATTTGTTGATTTTTTTTTTCTTACGGGATCTGTAGAAGCTAGCTGGTAAATGCATAGCACAAATTCATTCATATGAATAGATAAGAGGGCTGGAGACCAAAGGCAGAAAAATTCCTCAAAATCCTATAGAAACTAGAGCAGAATGCATAAGAGATGACACAACTGGGTATTTCAGCATTACAATGTGCATATATGCATTTTATACCAGGTCCCAGTGCCCAACAAAGCAATGTATATTTAAGATGCCTAGAAAAGAGCTTTATGCTAGAAAAATGCAAAATAATCAAGAAATATAAAAAAACTATAAAATGTATAATATATCTACTTCTTCTGACTACCACTGTTCAGATTGTAAGCAGGAAAAACTGATTGGGCATATGAAAGCAAAAATGGGAAGGTCACTTTTGCACAGTTGCCATGAGTTCAAGGAGCATCCAAAATGTTGAATTTCCATTGATAAGTGTATGTGCATTTTTTGCCAGAATCTAGTGGAATCTTCATAGGTATTATGGGCAAGAATTGATCAAAGCATCATCAGAATTTGTAGGAATAAAGGGGAAAGCTGAGAATCTTCCACCAATCCCTTGCAAGTGCATGGTCACACATTGTAGTATCTGTTGGACATGTAGTAGGTACAGTTTTGAAGACAACAGAACACCTTGGAAGTACCTCACTCAAAATGGACCAACTTTGGCTGTATAAAACTTCACAGAAGAAAGTTTGTTGAAAAAAATTGAAAATATTCCCTGGATCATTTCAAACAAAGTCTATTCTGACCCACTACAATAGTTGGATGAGTCAATACTGGACTTGGCTCCCCCACAAGAATTTGTATATTCTGCACTTAAATCTGCAGTTGGCAGGATAAGTGCAAGCTAATCTGATTTTTTTAATTCTCATTCATAAATCATTAACTTTAGAAATTCTGCTCATGAACCTTCACTTAGGGCAAGTAAAAATGAACATTGCCACTAATCCAGCTTCAACATTAATGACCTGACTCATGTTCAGTCACTATACAAAACAGTACCATCTGCAATGAACCAAAATCTCCATACCATCCATGAAATGCATGGCATTATGAGAACAAGATAAGGAAAATGTAATATTCCCATTCATGGCAGCAAGATGTCACAATAGAGGCAATTTTTTTGAGTTGAGACATCCCATATAGCTTGTACTGAGTTTTCATCTAAGTTGCATGCTCTTGGAAAATAATACACTCAGATGTGATGAGTCACACTCATCAAATCCTTTTTCTTTCTGCATTGTGAAGCGGAAGTTCTTTGTCAGTCTTCAGAACCAATTTAAACCCTCTACTGCTGATGGATAGGTACAGATATATCTATGAGGCCACTAGGGCAATTATAGCACTTGTTGAACAAGAAATATTTTTAAAAAGCTTTCAGTTTATGCTGTTTTCAGAATGAACCCATACCCCACCCATTGCTGCAGGTAATGACACCTTTCACAAGGATGGTTTTCTGAATCTTCTAATGATGCAGATCTTATGTAAATAGCGCTTTCTCCATTCCCCACTGCCCACTGGGGAGTATGAATACAATCCAAAACAGTGTACCAGGCCTATGAGAGAAATCCACAAACTGGGACTATCAGAGAAGCCTTGCAAGTGAATTCATCTTGGACGGTGTACAACTTTACATCCTTATGGATTTCTTTTAGAATCTCATTGCAGAGAAAGAAAGTAAAATCTAAAACCACAACAATCACAAAACACTGTTTTGGCATTTTTTCAACAATATGGATGCCAAAAAAATAATGGAAATTAGATACTATGTTTGAGTATCTGTCATATGTAACCACCATATTAGCCTTGAGGGCTTGATACTCTGTCTAACGTTTCATCAGCTCTTTTGGGTTTTCACGAAACCCAAGCACACCACAAAAGAACTATTAACACACCAAGGGAGCTGCATTCCTTCTATGTTGGGCCGAAAGAGTGAGAAAGTCAGCCTATTTTGGAGGATGATGTTGGGTAAGAAAAGGGTCGCAGCCTTTGACTGCGATTATTGAACATAGTATTTGGCCTTTGACACCAAACCTGCGAGAAAATAACGAGGGGCCACAAACTGTGCAAATGGGGATGGGTCTCACTGGAGTGAGGATGACATTAGTGAAGTTGTAAAGTAGTACCCCGTAGCCAATTCATATTTCAGAATACAATCAATTCCAATTTTATGAAATTCTCATCACCAGCTAACATATCTTTCATCTAGGCCTAGCCTACGTACTACAAGCAGCCACTTGGGAACCTCACCTTTTCTGATTTAAAGGGGGTGTTCACTCTGGTTTCCATATAGCCTTGTATGGCTAGGTAGAGACCTACAACGACGACAGCAGACGCTCCGCCAACTTTGAGTAAATTGGCTAAAAACGCAGGGCTGCTTTTACTCTTGCCCTTTTTGAGCCGACCTTTAAGCAACTTTCCTGGGGCAAGTTGGGGAGGATCAGGGGCGACATTCGGGTCTCGACGATTGTCACCGTCATTCCGATCTCTTCCTAGATGTTGCTTCCTCCGCTTGACTCCCATTTCAGTAAAGTATTCGGAACTATCTACAGCCTGAAACCAGAATGCGGCACTATAACGTAAGGCCTCTCCATAAGGCCGGCAAACTCATGCTCCCATGTGAGTAGCCATTGGCCCTTCCGTCGGAAGGGGGATGATGTGAATGCTGTCAACAGTCTCTCCAATCTGCCGGAACCCAATTACTCAGGAAATATTTTACACTCGAAACGCTTACCTTTCAATAAACTAATATGCGGAGGAAATTATGAAAAGCATGAAGTTGTGTGCAGCGGCGTAGCGCGGCGTAGTGACAGGGTAGGGGGCCTGTAGAGTACATCCAAAAGTCTTTTAGAGAGATGTCACTGAAGTATACAAGACTACCCATACATGTGGCAATAATCGCATTAAGGATGATCCCAGTGTTCTCCCTACTGTCATATCTCAGCTTGGAAGAACGCAAAATTGCTGGCCATATGAAAGCATCCGGCTTCTGAATCCTGCCGAGACCTAAACAAAATGCTTCGTCGATTTTCACTATCAGAGTGGCTCCCTTGCAAGACATATAGGAAGCATAACATTGTCAATCCCAAGAATTTCATCGTCATCCTTGGGTGCTTCTCATGACTCAGGCTACGTTGCATTCGAAAAATTGAATGAATCTGAGTGAATTTATAGAGGGAGCTATTGACGTGGTGAATAGATGGATTGACACGGATCTGCAAATCCCTCTGAATCTGTGGACCAATTTGGCTGTAGAGAGTGGCCAACATGCCCTTGCTTCACAGCAAGACTTACTTTAAATTTTGTGGTGATACTTTAACCAACACCTGGGAGTGGGAGAGAAAATCCTGGTGTCATTCATTGCACAACTGGTGGAAATCTTCATCGGAATTACACTCTTGAATATTTATTCCATCACTAAAAACATATCATTACCGTGTTTGAGCCTGTGATTCTTTCACTCCACTAATTACTCACTGGTACGCCTCTCCTTTCCCCTTTACATAGAGATCATTTGCTTGGAATATTCACCGTAACAGAGTTCTGTCGAAATTCGACATGAAAAGATCATGTAACGTTGAATCAGGGATTTTTTTCTCTCAAAATAAACAAGGAGCCCTAATTGGTCCACAGATTCAGAGGGATTTGCAGATCCGTGTCAATCCATCTATTCACCACGTCAATAGCTCCCTCTATAAATTCACTCAGATTCATTCAATTTTTCGAATGCAACGTAGCCTGAGTCATGAGAAGCACCCAAGGATGACGATGAAATTCTTGGGATTGACAATGTTATGCTTCCTATATGTCTTGCAAGGGAGCCACTCTGATAGTGAAAATCGACGAAGCATTTTGTTTAGGTCTCGGCAGGATTCAGAAGCCGGATGCTTTCATATGGCCAGCAATTTTGCGTTCTTCCAAGCTGAGATATGACAGTAGGGAGAACACTGGGATCATCCTTAATGCGATTATTGCCACATGTATGGGTAGTCTTGTATACTTCAGTGACATCTCTCTAAAAGACTTTTGGATGTACTCTACAGGCCCCCTACCCTGTCACTACGCCGCGCTACGCCGCTGCACACAACTTCATGCTTTTCATAATTTCCTCCGCATNACATTCGTAGAAGTGTCGCAGCAACATTCCAAGTGAAAACGTTGAAGCAATGTTTTATCAATGTTGTACAGCAACTTGCAACATAGAGCAACATAGGCAACATTTCGAAAACGTTTCATCAATATACTGTGTTACTTGGGTTGCAGTGGCTGGCACAATGTTCCCAGAGATTGGGAGGCATGTCCCCACATACTTCTCTTATTAGCTGGAGGACGCTGCGAGAACTCTGGGGTTCAATGTTACACTTTCTCAGATCTCTTTTGAGCTTTGCCCACACCAATTCTATGGGATTGCGAACACAGTGATATGGCGGTAAACGAAGCACGGAGAGACGTCTATTGATGCCTGCTGCTTGAACCGTTGTATCCACTGCATATTTATTCTTAAGTCCCCCGTGCAACATGACCCATCGTGCAATCTGCGTGAAATAAAAAAAAAAAGCCACATTGTGTTTTTCCAGCTGGTTAGCATGCCAGAGAAGGGTTGATTTTCATTGGGCCATACATCAAGAAGCATTGCCTTTGTTGGCTTGAATCCAGCCACCTTCATCCACTGATCCTCAGGTACGATGACGTCATGCTCTCAAAGGAATTTCATGATGACACTTCTGCGTGATGATTTGATAGGTATGATAGGTAGGTAGGTAGGTATCTATCCTCCTGAATGACACCAGCAACAATGGTTTTATAGTCACACAGAACCAACGCAAGCATTTCAGACCCAAAGACGAAGTATTTTTGTTCCCCTACTGAGAATGGTATGGGTATCCATAATGGTATCCATCATTACAACGCAGTCTCCCTCAGGGAGATTTTCTAGAAGCATCCTCTTCACCCAATTCTCAAACAGGGAGGAATTCATGTACGAGTGGTACTCAGCTCCTGACTGTAATATTCCTCGATGACAAAAGTAGAGTGTTGGGGAGCCATCCAGCTGCCAACCCGGCATGGAGAATGATTATTCTCTTTCCTCGACTTGGGGGATGGCTGAAGAAGCATTCCCTTGACCCGTCGCTCCAGCCTTTCCTCACAAGGTCATGAGAATCGTACCTGAAAATTTGTTTAATAGGAAATTGCTTCAGACTACTTCTTCATGTGAATTGGGCTAGTTATTCATTGATGAACCACAAATTCGTTGAAACATGAAGGCTAATTACCAGGTTTCGTCCAAATAGATTGCTGTGTCTTCACGTAGGTTTGCTATATTCTTCAAGAAATGCCCCCTGTTGCATGAAGAAAACAACAGCATCTTTAGGAAAAAGATATAGATAAACAATGGGTTGCTGCCAGTAGTCTATTCTGACACTCTGTACCCAATGATACTCTTTGATACGTGGTATATGTATATATATATTGGGTTGGAAAGAAAGTCTTGCAACACTGCACAAATTTGTCAAAATTTTATAACTTTATTGAAATGCAATTTCAGTCTACAATGTAATGACCATTGTTGTCTATGACGTTCCCAACGCACGGGTAACTGCTCGATGCCCTTTGCCCAGAACTCTGGCGATAACGAAGCGAAGAAACAGCCGACATCATTTTCGAGCTGTGCTCGATCGTCGAAGGCCTTGTCCCGCAGGTGATTCTTGAGGGCCCGGAACGAGTGATAGTCGGAAGGGGGCAAGTCCGGAGAATACGCTGGATGGGGTAAAAATTCCCAGCCCAGTTCCGAAATCGTTTGGCGAGTCATCTTCCCAACATGTGGACGAGCGTTGTCATGCAGAAGGAGAACTTTGTCGCGTTTGGGACGCTCTTTTTGAATGACGCCAGCCAGCTTCTGAAGTCGAGCAGCGTAGACGACGGCAGTCACGGTGGGTGACTGCCGTCGTCTACGCTGCTCGACTTCAGTCGGGTTGGCAGAAGCTCATAGTACAACATTCCTTCTGAATCCCACCGACAGCAGAGAAGAACTTTCTTCTCGTGGAACCCTGGTTTCGGTTCGTGTGGCGGCAATTCTCCTCGTGGAAGCCACTGACTCTTGCGAGTATGGTTGACGTAGAGGACCCAGCTCTCATCTCCAGTAACGATTTCCTTCAGAAGGTCCTTTCTGTGCGGACGAAGGAGCAGTGATTCGCAGACACCGACACGGCTTGCTTTGTCAGAGTCGCTGAGCCGATGAGGGACCCATGTCGAGTAAACCTTCCGATAGCCGAGGTCGTTCAGATGGTTGCCGATGGCCATATGGGTGACTCCAAGTGTAGTCGCCGATTCGCGAGTGGTGGCGTTCGGCTTCGCGTCGAGGGCGTTCCGCAGGGCTTCGTCATCGACTGTAGATGGACGTCCTGAGCGTGGTCGATCTCCGAAGGTCGTGTCGCCAGATTCCAAGCGTTTCGACCATCGAGACACCGTGGAATAGTGGACGACGTTGCCCTTGAATGCAGCGCAGATGTTGTCCGCGGCGGCTCTCGCAGAGTGTCCTTGGAGGAACTCGTAGTAGACGATGGGGCGAAGAGTTGCTTGTTCGATCGGAGCCATGGCTGCCAACTAATGGCAGAAGCCGCTTTATATACCCCGAGGGCAGAAGCTTCGAGAACATTCCAGCATATATCTATACAAATGCAGTTAAGTTAAGCAGCGTCAGCATGGTCACAACCTGGATGGGTGACATGGGAACATCGAGCTGCTTGCCTAAGGCGGTGCTGGGCACTTCACCGATAAAAAGGGCGGATGAGACTCTCGACAGTCTAACGGCCGTGGTGCCCCATGGATCAGAGGATCACCCTGTGCAACAGGTGGCTGTGGCGTATGCGCCTCACCTGCCAGGTCCTCACACTCATGGAAACATGATGATGCCACAACTAAGGAAAATTCATACTGGCTCGGCCGTCGCCCAGGATAAAAAGGGCCGCGCTGGCTGCAGGTCTACCGGTGCAGTCAATGAGAGTTGGCGTCCGGAGGCT